GTAAAAAATCTGTCACTAGGATTACTAGAAGCAAATTGTCTGATGCTAAAAATAAAGGGAGAAATATAGATACTAAAATCCAACACCCTGAATCTGTTTTTCAAATTCTAAAGAGAAAAGAGTTGTGTGTTGATCAGGGTGGTTTATCTCAAGGTGAATCTAAAAAACAAATATTAGTAGAAGGTCTTGTTCAGAATCAGGTGGAGGAAACCAACCATAAATGGTCCCAAGTTTCTAAATGAGGGTGCTGGTGTGGAATTGTAGAGGTCTGGGAGGACCCTCTACAATTTCCCAGTTGAAGGCTAGTATGACAGCCTACCTTCCTGTTTTTACTTTTCTGTGTGAAACTAAAAAGAAAAAATCTTTTGTTGAAACTGTGTGTAAGAATATTAATATTAATGTAGGGTCTAGGTGGAGTTATGTCAGTCCTTTAGGTACTAAAGGGGGTATGTTGTTATGTTGGTCTGATAATGTGGTAATTTATGATCTTATATCTAACTCTTTTTGTTTTGAGGTTTGTCTCAGTATAAATGGTAATGATGAAAAATTTTGGGCTATTTTTGTTTATGCTAGTGTCATTCAGGGGAAAGGCAGCTCCAGTGAGAACACTTATATAGGAGTCAACCTAGATGGGGTAGGGTCTGGTTTATAGGGGGGACTTCAATGACATCTTGCACAATGGTGAGAAAAGGGGTGGGAATCATAGAGGGGAGGCTAGCTTTCTAAGTTTCAGGTAGTTTGTCCAAAACTTGGGGCTAGTTGATTGTCCTATCAATGGTCACCCATTTACCTGGTCAAACCTGAGAAAGGGTAGTGAGTTTGTAGAAGAAAAAATTGATAGGATTTTTGTTTCTCCAGAGTGGGGCCTTAATTTTCCAAATACCTGTGTGACTCATGTTCCTCTGCTTTCCTCAGATCACTGTCTATTAGTTTTAGATTCTGAAAGGGAGGAGAAGACAGAGCACAGAAGATTCTTTTTTGACAGCCGGTGGATTAAAGCTCCTGGGTTCAAAGAG